TCAGATTCCCCAAGGCAAGGCCCCAGCCACCAACCCCCCAACCCCCAAGTATGCTTAAGGATTCAAGTCTGGGTTTGAATCAAATGCTGTCTCCAGTGCAAAGCAGGGGACCGGGACTTTTATAACACTCAGCTATGGTCCCGGGCCTGTGCCACTGGGCCCATGTGTTTTGGAACAGTACTGAGAGACTGGGAGTGCGAAACACTGGTTGGAAAGAATCCAGCAAGGTGCTGGGTTGGGCTACAGGGGAAGTTCCAAATACCAGGCCAACAGCTACCAGAACCTGGAGGCACTGTGCCACCTGCTAGGGTGGAGATGCCCCAGGACCCTAGGTAATTCCCAGAGTGCCTCTGCTGCAGCAACCACCTCTGTTAATCAGCTAGAAATGAGGTGTGAGCCAAAGGGAGGTTAAGCCAGTGCCTTCCAGAGTTCCCAGGAACGTCAGAGGGGTGCCTGTGGGGTGTCTAAATATATTCATCAAATAGATGTGTGACAGGCCCTGGAGGCAGGGGACCACATCAGGGAATAAAATATGTGCTCTCCTCAGTAAGCATGTCCAGCCCCATGGCTTAAAGTCCAGCCCCATGGCTTAAAGTAACAGGAATGTTCAGTGGCTCCTGAATTCAGGTCACCAGCCTCAGCACACTGCAGACTTGCATAGTTACTGTTGGAGCTTTGGGACATGTGCAGGGAGCCTCACTTTGCCTCAGACCTCGAGAGGCAGCTCACTTCACTCCCTGAAACCTTCCCTCCGAACCACCCCCCCATCTCTTAGGAACCCCCCAGGCCACCTGATCTATTCCTTGGCACTGTGACATTTGGGGCTGGGTCATTCTTTGTGGTGGGGTCCTCCTGAGCACTGGAGGATGCTGCACGGCACAACTGGCCTCCACCTGCTAGATGTCACACTTGTGACCATCAAAAATTGTTGCATGTTCCCTAGAGGACAAGAACACCCTTGGTTGAGACCATGGTTTTCCATAGTCTGGCCACTGGAACCACCCAGCTCCAGGTCCTGCTGGCTCCACTTACCACCCAATCTACTACATCAATCCTGCCCCTCTGGCCATTCTCTCCCTGGACTGCTAATGGCCCCAGGCCTAGTGTTCCAGCTTCCAAACACTAAGCTTCCTTTTTGTGTTAGCCAAGGTGTCTCTGAAACACAGATCATTCTCTGACTGAAAGCCTCAAATACTTTTTCATTTAATTTAAAATAAAGTCTGAATGTTGCCTCTCTGACCTCTGCCCCCCACTCACATTACTCCTACTCCACTGGCCTCTGTGCTCCAAACAACCTCTCCTGCCTGCCTCAGGGCTTTTGCGCTAGCTGTTCTCTCCACCTCAAATGCTTTTTGCAGAACTTCCCAAGGCCAGCTCAGAGGTCACCTCCTCAAGAAGGCCTCTCCAGACCACCTGCCTACATCCTTTTCTATCACTGTGTTGTCCCCACTTGGGAGCCTTTTCTGAATGGACCTTGGCCAGGGCTGTGTTTGCTGCATGCTCCTGGCTTCTTCCTCTCTGCAGGGCAGGACTCCTTCTTGCTGGGCTGAGTCGTCAGGCAGCGCCTGGCTCATGTCAGACACTCATAGATGAAGAATAGGAGTTCATCTGACCTGTGTGGTACTGGGCCCTGTGTGGTACTGGGATCTGTGTGTTCCTGGGACTCTCAAGGCCCTGTGTAGTGTTGGGACCGTCATAGTACTGGGACCCTCATGGTACTGGGACCCGTGGGGGTACTGAGTCCTGTATGGACTAGGCTGTAGCCTTTACCCACAAAGGCAGATAAGTCAGGCTCTGGTTCCCACTGACCCTGTGGAAAGGGGAGAGAAATGATGCTCTTGTGGTCCCCACCTCTGCCAGGATGCAGACAGGCCCCTCTGACCATGGCTGCCCACAGGAGTAGCTGCTTGCTTCCCTTTGCCAGGGGACGTCCAGCTTGTGAGTCCCAGCAGTCACCCCCTAGTGTGGGCTGTGGTCTGGCCCGAATCATTTGGGGGAACTCACTGTCAGCTAGGACACAGGTCAATGGTCTCATGAGAAGGCACCAGGGGACTGAGGGAGCTGTCACTGGAAAGGAGGCTCACGCCCATGATAGGGGTGTGAGGGCAGTTCAGTGGTAGCTTTGCACCTCAATTATGATTGCCAGCGTTTTACCCGGGTTAGACGCTATGCTAAGCACTTGGCCTTGATGATCTCACCCTAGTCCACAGACCAGGGGAAGGGTGTGAGGAAGGCCCTCCACATTCGTCAGATGAGAACACCAAGGAGACACCAATGGTTGAGTCACCCCCCCCCCCATGTCATTGCTGGGCAGGTGGCCAGACGGACTGTCTTAACTACCCAGGCTGGGGCTGCCAGAGACTGCAGCCTCACAGCCGAAGAAGGGAGTATAGTGGAGGGAGAGCAGGGATGGAGGAATGGAGTCTCGGGAAGAGCTGAGCTCAAATCCAGGGGTACCTGATGTCAGAGCTGCTAAGATATGGGGGTCCATGAAAGGTAGCCAGGCGCCTTCACTTTGCCTTCAGCTGATTTCAGAGTAGCTTGCAAGAGAAAGGGGCCCAACTGCAGCCCTTCTAGGAAAACACCCCTAACCCACATTCCATCTGCAACCACACTCAGCAGCTGCCAGCAGATGTGGGTGACACAGTTCTGGCTTCCTGCCCATGAACTGTAGGGTCTGTAACCCCAACGCCCAACTGCAGCCAGCCAGAGCCTCTTCCCCTCTAGGCTCCAAGAGAGGTCTAGTTCCCTAGCAACCACCCCAATTAGGCAATCATGCCATTTATCAGGATGCCAATTAATTATAATGATCTTAATGATCTCCCAATTAGATAGCGCCTTGAAGCCGGCTGGATCACCAGCAGATGCCGGGTCCCCACCAGGCCAGTCCCCAGGGCAGGTCTGGCTTGCAGGTCACTACGGAAAGACTAACCTGCCAGTCCACGCACACACAGGGTCAGGCCTGAAACCAAGCATCGCGGGACCCCTCTAAGGCCAAGCCCAAAAAGGGGCTTGCCTCTAGATGTCCCCCCTCTTCTGTTTGCTTACAAAGGGCTAAAATCTGAATCTCAGCATTCCTGGCCTTTTCCCTGGCTGCATTTGAGACTCCCCTCTCCCCGCTTTGCCTCCAGACCAGGGGAGGGAAGGAGGGAACGGCATCAAGCAACAGGAGGGGAAAAAGCAAAACAAACCAGGGACCCCCCAAACAGCCGAGGTTCTCGGAGAAAGGAAAGACTTTGGAGGGCTCCCCAGCTTCAGTCTCGATTTCTGCATTTAGAAAAACACTAAACCCCTAAAGGAAGAGGGCTTCTGAGTGGGCCTGAGCCTGGGAGGTGTACCACTGACCACTGTGCCTCAGTTTCCTCTTCTCTAACAAGACAACCATAGGGCCTGCCTCTCAGGGTTTATATGGCTATATAACTTATGTCTAAGGGCCTGTCCCACAGCATCATCAACGAGCTGCAGAGGAAACTTCTTTGAGCTGATCCAGTAGGCTGATGTTCTCCTGCAAAAAGGGCCAGGCTGATATTCTCCTGTGGAAAGGGCCTCTGGTCTCCAGAGGGGCAAAGTCTAAGCATAGATAACAGCTGGGTGATAATCTCCTGGCTGACCCAGGGACCAGAAGCTGTCCCTGTGAGGCAGGTCTAGGCAAGTAGGGTCACCAAGGCCAGGAAATGGGAGGAGACTCAATTCCCAAATCAAAAGTCCACCAGAACATCAGGGTGTGAAACTGCACATGGGAACAGGGTCCTCAATGAAAGTGATCTGGGCCACTGGGTGGGGGACACACATGAGTACACAGACACACATGTACACACAGCCACAGTAGTTTTTCCTCCAGGGCTAAGCTTGCTACAGTCAATCCACCCTTCCACTCTTAAGTCTGAAAACCTAACATGTTATTAAGGTTTCAGAAAAAGCCATAAATTCAAATAAAAAAACCTCAAGTATACACAAAGCCCAAAGCCACACTGCCCCTCAGCCAGGGCTGGGATGGAGGCATACCTGAATATGTCCAGCATGCCATCAGCCTAGGGGGGCACCAGCGCCACCATGCTGCTGATTCTAACACTAAGCTACCCTGGGACAGGTTGTCTTGTTTTCCTGGGGGATCAGTGAGGCTTAGAGGAACATCTTGGGGGAGTGGTCTTCAGCGAGCTCCGCCCCCATCTCTTTAATCAATGGTTGGTTGGTTCTCAGTTGATTCCCCCTTGGGGAAGGGAGCTGGGAGTCCCAGACAGGGCCCCCTCACCACAACTGCAAACTAACAATTCCGGAGAGAGAACAAATCCAGGCTGTCCCCCAAGGAAAGCCGGGGTCACCTGCTTTCTGTCACCACCAAAGAATGAGCTCCAGAGCAGACTGGGGAACACCACGGGAAAGAGGCAGGGGACAGATGGAGGGGCGAGAGGGCGGGCTGCCCGACAGACACAGCAAATACCCAGATTCAAACGTAAGCTGAATGTAATTACTTGGTTAATTAAATATTGACTTTTAACTCAAAAAGTGATTAAAACAAGCTGCGGGAAAGTCCGTCCAGAAGGGGTGGGGCTACGCAGAACTTTAAGGAAGTTGAGGGGGTCGGAGACAATCGTGGTCTGCACAGCACATCCTACTGTGTGCAAGGGTCCAAGTCTCTCTGGGTTCACTCAGGCAGTGGTCCCCGGGCCAACACAGGGCCTGCGGGTGATTGCCTCCATCTTCCCACCCTGAGTCACCCCTCTCCACCAGCCTCCTTCCACCAGCCTCCCTCCGAGAATCCACTGTTTCCGGGCAGGGACCACACACTGCCATCCACGCTTCCCTGGGTGACACTCGGTACCTGGCACGCGCAGAGCTCCTCCACAAACGCTTGTCGAATGAATGAATGCATGAACTACTGTAAAGAATGTTGTTTTTTAAAAACGAAGTGACAGCCACCGGTGGAGTGTCCCCTCTGGGCTCCTGGAGCCCCCGTGGCCCGGGCTGGGGAGCAGATCTGTAGGATGTTGGGCTCTGACCTGGTCTGGAGGAAGTTTCCCAGTTTCATCTGTGCACTCTGTCTGCGAGTTCCCAAGCACCGCCTGCCGATGTCCTGCCCGGACAAGCCGCACGTGGCCTGGCTTGCAGCTGGCCCTCTGGGTCTAAACCCCAAGGGCTCAACGAGGCCGTGCCCGGGCAGCCGTCCTGTCCAGGCGTCCTTCCCCCGGGGCCACCCGAGCTCGGAGTCGGGTCAGGGGCGCAGCGGGAAGCCCGCGCCTGGCCGCCCGCCTTGCAGACGGGGTCAACCGGGTCAGCCTCCTGCAGCCGGCCGGCGCCGGTGCCTCGCGCCCGCCCGCCCGCCCTCGGGTGCCACCTCCGCGCCGCAGCCTGGGCCGGGCGGCGGGGACCGGTTCGGCTCACCTAGCCGGCGCTGGGGATCGTGA